TCTGCGGTCTCTCCCCGTCCACTCTTAAGGTGTACGTGGCTGCCGTTTCGGCTTTCCACGCGCCAGTAAGATGGTGGACCTCTGGGGAGGCACCAGTTGGTCATTAGGTTTCTCCGTGGTGCTTGGAGGATGAGGCCGGCGATCAGGTCCAGGGTGCCTGCCTGGGATCTGGCATAGTTCTGGAAGGGTTGTCCCTCGCTCCCTTCGAACCTTTAGAGTCGGCTTCGCCTAAGACTTAACGTTGAAAATGGTCTTTCTCTTAGCGATTACCTCTCTTAAGAGGGTGGGAGATCTCCAGGCCTGGCGGTAACGCCAGCTTGCTTGGAGTTTGCCCCTGGCAAAAGTAAAGGCCTTTTTGCACCCGAGTCCGGGCTACGTGCCTAAAGTTCCTTCGAGTACGGCTCGCTCTGTAGTCCTTCAGGCATTCCATCCTCCACCTCATGTGTCGGCGGAGAAGAGAGGCTTCACTTGCTCTGCCCCGTCAGAGCTTTGAGTGTATACTTGAAAAGTCTGCTTCTTGGAGAAGATCTGACGGCAGTTGTTAGTATGCTTTGGGATCACCTAAGAGGGGGCTCCCGGCGACCAAACAAACTATAAGTAACTGATTGTCCAGGCTATTACTGAGGCTTACAAGGTGCGTGGGGTTCCTTCACCTTTGGCCTTAAGGGCCTCACTCGACTAGAGGCATGGCTTCCTCTAGGGCCCTTCTGTCGGGAGTACCTCTGCAGGAGATTTGTGAGGCAGCCGGCTGGGCTACCCCGCATACTTTCATCAGGTTTTACAGTCTCAGCCTTCCCAGTACGCCCGGTGCACACGTACTCGGCCCTTGCTGAGTGCCTAATCAGTTTCACTCTGGGGCGGGTCTGTTCGGTGCGTGGCCTAGTGGGTACTCGTTCCCCAAAGAGTCGATTTTAATCGACGCAGTGTTGAGTTCCCTCGATAGGGAACGTCTCGGGTTATGACTATAACCCTTGTTCCCTGAGAAGGGAACGGACACTGCGTCGTGTGCCACGCCCCCTTTCAGACCCTTGAGCGTCTTGCTTCATCGCGAGGCTAGTGTGTGTTGGTGACAGCGTCACTTTTATACTTCCGGGTATGCCGTCACATGTTACGTCACGACGCAACACCAATCAGGATTGGATTAGTTTCATTCATACTTCAGAGGCGCACGCTTAGGGAGCGTCCCCAAAGAGTCGATTTTATCGACGCAGTGTCTCGTTCCCTTCTCAGGGAACAAGGGTTATAGTCATAACCCGAGACGTTTTGCATGATAAGACCCTTATTCATCGTCTGGTGTCGTTTAAAGACATTTGAAGCTGCGTCTGAAACTGTTATTAACTGTCTTTTGGACCTTGGACTGTCTGGTTCCCATTGAAGTCCATTACATGGAGAAAAATCCTGGAATATTTCATCAAAAACCTTAATTTCTTTTCGACTGAGGAAAGAAAGACATGGACATCTTGGATTACATGGGGGTGAGTAAATTATCAGCAAGTTTTTTTTTGAAAGTAAACTAATCCTTTAAGTTAGGTAAAAGAGCAATACTGCTCTCATTAGCTTTTACTGTTGCTAACGCTTGTAATATTGTAAAATTTCCTTAGTTCAGCTTTGTTTGGTGTAGCCCCAGAGCTCTTCTGCCCTGACATCATCTTCCTCTGACATTCAATTAACACGATGAACAGAGTGTGAGCGCACATCACCCCGGCCGCTGACAGGTGTTTCGCTCTCAGCGTTCTGGATTAAAGGGCAGGTTAGGTGTTAGGGCTTTGCGAGGCATTGTGGGTACAGTAGTTCTTATGGAAGATATTTTTGTAAGTGTCTGTGTCACTCAGAGTGGATCTGTGCAGCTGTTACCTGTAAATACAAAAGCACAACGGCTTCTTCAAAGATTTGAAAGTTATGGCGGTAGAGAAGCATTTCATTTAAATTCATTTATTTTCTTAATGCATTTTAGTAGTCCTCATGCATTTAAAAATGATTTGTGCATTGTGCATTTTCTTTAAACAACAAAAATGCATTTGTTCTTGCAGTGCATCTTTTTTTTCAACATCTCTATTTTTGTGTTCCACAGAAGAACTCAAGTCAAACGGGTTTGGAACAATGTGAGGGTGAGTAGATCATGAACGGATTTTAATTTATGGGTGAACCGTTCCTTTAAGTGTGCTGACGTTTAATAGACTTACTTACGTTATAAGTGACCACATGAAGCACCGTTTTCACCTGCCAATCATCAGTTTTCACTGAGCAGACAGACAGATGTGGATATTTCTGATCAGATTTCTGCACCAGACTAGAATAACTCCACACACACACACACACACACACACACACACACACACACACACACACACACACACACACGTACACACTGATCTCCTACAGATGCATGATGAATGCACAGGATGCGATGTCACACTTGAGTGAGCAGTGTGTGTGTGTGTGTGTGTGTTGCCATGTGACAGATGCAGCGTGTATCTTCAGGCACGGCTTCCGCGAAAAGTACTCTTCATTTATCAATAATTGGACCTTAATTTCATCTGGCAGAGACTCGAGCGGACAGCAGCACATTAATGAGGCCTCTCAGATCAGCATGCACATATACCCTCAAACTTTCTGGGAACATGCGGAAAATCCACACAACACACACACACACACATACACACTGAACATAAGCCTTTTTCTTTTTGAATGAATAAGTAATTTTGATTCTTGGTTCTGAATAATGTGTGTTAAATAGAGGTTATATTCATGTGTTTTTCTCCAGAGAGTTTGGGATTTTGGAAATGACCCAACCCAATCTGGGAAGGTCAGAGATCAGGAAGGGGATTGGGCCTCATGGTCACAGTAATCCTGTTCTGTCACAGATATGTTGGGTCACACATTAAATACTATGAATATGCAATTCATGACACCATCAGTAAATCAAATCAGACATACACTACCATTCAAAAGTATGAGGACGATTAGATTTGATAAATTTATTCAAATCTTTATACCGTGATACATTTATTTCAGGATTCTTTGACGAATACAAAGTTCAAAACACCAGCATTTATTCAAAATAAAATCTTTTGTAACATTATAAATGTATTTACTGTCACTTTTGATCAATTAAATGTGCCCTTGCTGAGTAAGCACACCCACCAACAAACCCATCCTCCAACCAACCAACTCACCAGCACACTCCCCAACCAACCAACTCACCAGCACACTCCCCAACTAACCAACCAGTACACCCACCAGCCAACCAACTCACCTGGGCTGCGTTCAGCCCGGACAAAACGTTGCTCAACGTTTTTTAAACAGAAACGGTGATGCGTTGAACACCCCGTTCTGATGACGCAAGAGTTGCAACTATGGAGCCCGATGAGGCCATTCTCTGTGTTCTTTGAGAAGAATTTTCGGAGCCTGATGAAGTCGGTATAAATATTTGTTTAAAGGAGAACTCCGGCGAACAATGAACCTTTGGTCTAATAAAACATCGGTACCTAGTCAACCGTTCTCTGAGATTTGTTTTCATGATAATCGAATGTAAAGAGTTTTATCTCTAAAAACTGTTTAGCGTATAATGCTAGTAATGGGGGCATTGAGTAAGTAAAAAGAAATCGCTAGTTTATACCACTAACAAGGCTCAAAATAGCCCCACACTCACACAGTAACATAATGAGGCTCCATACATGCAAAATGAAGCATTGAGAACTTTGTAAGTGTACAGACCGTTTAATAAGAAGATACTTTATGAAGACAGTTCACTTCGCGTATACAGACAGGAGCCATCTTAGGAAATAGTCTCGATAAGTCGATCCCCGAACGCCGTTCATACAGTTCAGAAGTTCGTTGAACTTCATAGAGTTCAGATCACTCAGCACGACGTTCGTGGTTTGACTTATCGAGACTATTTTTTAAGATGGCTCCTGTCTGTATACGCGAAGTGAACTGTCTTCATAAAGTATCTTCTTATTAAACAGTCTGTACACTTACAAAGTTCTCAATGCTTCGTTTTGTATGTATGGAGCCTCATTATGTTACTGCGTGTGTGTGGGGCTATTTTGAGCCTTGTTAGTGGTATAAACTAGCGATTTCTTTTTACTAAGTCAATGCCCCCATTACTAGCATTATACGCTAAACTGTTTTTAGAGATACAACTCTTTACATTCGATTATCATGAAAACAAATCTCAGAGAACGGTTGACTATGTACCGATGTTTTATTAGACCAAAGGTTCATTGTTCGCCGGAGTTCTCCTTTTACAAAATATACCCGATGTTACAGTAACTGCACTTGCCGCCCAGAACACAAGAGAACATCCCAATCAATTGAAGGGATTTGTGGAAACTGAAAGCACACATTACCTAATTCAGACTAAAACATATTCTGTTTAGTCTCACACACTAACTTTATTTGTATTTCATAATGTTTTATAACATATTTTCTTTCTCATTTTTAGGAAAAGCACTTATTTTTTATTTCTATACCAAATGTCATACACTTGCAATGAAGCTAAAAAAAATATAATAAACTACATCATGTTGATATCCTATATTTTTACAATAAACGACAAATATCTTCTAATATCCTCAGTTGTTGCATATAGCGATCTGCATTGAACACATTTGTAAATTATTTTCCTTGAACCCATTGTGTGAGTTCACTTTATAATACCGCGTGCTTTATGTACAGTATGTTGCTGCTGATTGGATTGCAGTTCTGACACACCCACCAAACGAGAGAAAACATATCTCAAACCCCGGTGAACACCGTTTCCTGGAAACATGACGTTCAACTAGGAAACCGTAGCAAAACGTTGCGCACTGTTTTGAACTTGAACGTGCCCTGCACACTCCCCACTCCCCACCAGCACACCCCAACGCACCACACAACTACACCACCAGCACACACACCAACCAACCAACCAACCCACCAGCACACCACCCACCAACCAACCAACCCACCAGCACACCCATAAACCAACTCACTAGCACACCCAACCAACCCACCAGCACACCTACCAATCAACCAAACCACCAGCACACCCATAAACCAACCAACTCACCAGCACACCCACCAACCAACTCACCAGCACACCCAACCAACCCCACCAACACACCTACCAATCAACCAAACCACCAGCACACCCCACCAAATCAACCAGCACACCCATAAACCAACCTCACCAGCACACCCACCAACCAACTCACCAGCAGACCCACCCACCAACCAACTCACCAGTAGCGATGCGCGGATGGGCTATTATTTCATCCGCAACCGCATTACAAAACTCATCATCCGTCCACCATCCATCTGCACAATTTTCAAAACCGCACCCGCCCGCCATCAGCTGATTGGGCAATACAAGACGCTGCTGATGACAGCCGCAAGGTTAAAAAGCTCTCAGAATATCAGCAGTGAACTCCGGCGCCGATTGGTGTAGAGGGACAAAAAAAATAAATAGCCTAAATTAATGGACGAAACTTGTCAAGGTGTTCGTGGAGGTTTGAGGTTTAGCAGTACACTTGTGATGCAGCATATTAGACATACTTGTGGCTGTCATGAACATATACTGCTTCGCAGGTTTTGCAAATTACATAGCCTGCACTGGTGTCATCCTGATTAACCACTCTGTAAATCTTATTTCAGGCAACATTTTTCTGACCGTCTATTTCCTTTGTTTTTAATGGCCATCTATGATAATAACAAGCAGTCTCTGCATCTGCATAGACTCGACTAGCTGCCTGATGAAAATTTGATTATTTTAAAGGTTTTTTTAGATGTAGGTATAGTCAGATAACAATATTTAACAATGTATACATATAGTTTTCATTTGATTGGTTCAACTTCCCTCCACCGCCTGTATTTCATTAAAAAAAAAAATCCGTCACGTCATCTGCCCGATAACTGCCAACCGCGCATCTCTACTCACCAGCACACCCACCAACCAAACAACTCATCAGCATGCTTCCAAACCAACCCACCATCCCACCACCACACCCACCCACCATCAAACTCAACAGCACACCGACCAATCCACTAAATCACCAGCACACTCCCCAACCCACCAACCTACTAAACTCACCAGCACACTCACCATCAACCAACCAACCAACTCACCATCATACTCACCATCCAACCAACCAACTCACCAGCACACTCACCATCCAACCAACTCACCCACCATCCAACCAACTCACCCACCAACCAACCTACTCACGCACCAACCAACCCACTGTCCAATCAACTCAATTCCACACCCACCATTCAACCAACCAATCAACTCACCAGACCTGACCAACCAACCAAACAACCAACCAACCAAGTGTCCAAACAACTTACCTGCCCACTCACCAACCAATCAACCAAAAACCCAGCCTCCAACCAATCAACTTATCAGCACACCCACCAACCAATCAACCAACTTGCCCACCAACCCACCCTCCAACCAACCCTCCAACCATCCAACTCACCCACCAGCACACTCACCAACCAATCAACCAACTAACTCATCCACCAACCAACCCTCCAACCAACCACCTCACCAGCACACCCACCAGCGCACCCATGAATGAACCGACTCCCCAACCAACCAACTCGCCAGCACACCCACCAACCAGAGGTTTTGCCAGATTTAATTCATTTTAAATGCCTCAAATTAAACCCACACACTTAAATAATATATCAAATATTTGGCTTTTAAAATAGTTAATTCACCATCCAACCAACCAACTCACCCACCAAACAACCTACTCACCCACCAACCAACTCACCACCACACCCACCATCCAATCAATCAATCAATCAACTCACCAGCACACTCTCCATCCAACCAACCAACTCACCAGTACACCCACCAGTCAATTCACCAAACAATCAACCAACCAACTTACCAGCACAACCACCAACCAACCAACTCACCCACCAGCACACTCACCAACAGAGCCGGGCCGAGCCTTTTGAGGGCCCTAAGCTGAATTTGATTTGGGGGCCCCTCCCACTACGCAGAGTCACCTGTGCTTGACGATTATTGACACAAATCACGAAATAATGATGCATTATAAATTAATACAGTGACGTTATGTATGAATACAAAATACATACTTCTTAATAAAAAATAGATAGCCTACTTAAATATTTTTTTTTAAACTTTTACTTTTCTCTTTTACTTTTCTCTTTTACTAACTTTTTGAAACTTCTTAAAACAAACTGTCTCAAAACATATCCAATAAATTTTGCTAAAATAATGATAACTGAGAAATCAAAAACATAATAAGAGCAAGGCTTCAACAATGATAATTATTGTTGAAAACTGTAAAATATTATTATATTAATATTTAATTATTCATTCATTCATTCATTCATATTAATTCATTAATTTATGTCACTTGTTTAAGTCATCTAAAAAATATATATTTTTTGACTCCATTGGGGGGACCCCTGGTGGTCGAGGTGACCCAAGCAGCCGTTTAGTTCGCTTATGCCTCGGGCCGGCCCTGCTCACCAACCAATCAACCAACCAACTCATCCACCTACCAACCCACCAGCACACCCACCTACCAACCAACTCGCCAGCACACCCACCAACCAGAGGTTTTGCCAGATTTAGTTCATTTTAAATGCCTCAAATTAAACACACACACTTAAATAATATATATCAAATATTTGGCTTTTAAAGTAGTTCATTACAGAGTTTTAGCTAGACCAGTTAATCCAGTCTTCAGCAGATTATCTATTAATACCGTCTCTGACTGTCCATTTGTGGAACAGGCCTTTTCAATGTCATCATTAAATAAGAAGATTGTTAATCTCTCACTCTTCTGTCCTAAACAGGGTTATTTTACAGCTTGCAACATAATCTCACGTCCAGTAATCTCTCTCTTTCTGTCTCACTGGCTCCGCTGCTCGCTTATCCCTGGTAATTTAATTACAAATTACATGATTAAAAATTCATTAAAGTATTAGATACAAAGAACATGTATTTCCATCAGGGAGAGAGCGATTATTACACTGGCCCCGGTAGTCTTTTACCCCCTCCATGTCTCTAGCCCACAGGTTTTTTTCGTTCTTTTTTTTTTTTTTATTAAAATCAAATTCACTCTTTTAATAAAGTAATAACACCTGAGACTTCTTGAAGAGCACAGACAAACCTTGTCATAATTGTGTTTTTTAGTTTGTATGTTTTATCTGTCAAAACACTTCTCGACTCTGTATGAATGGATTTTTTTTTTTCCAGTGCTTTAGTTCAGAAGGTTTTTCTGGTTATTGACGCCTGTATTTTTGTGTCTCGTGAAGGCCAAAAATCCTGTGAGAAATATTAACTACTGTATTAAACAGTAATATGGAACCAAACAGGTTTCTAAAACACTCCCAGCAGCCCTTCGTCTGCCATTGTTTGGATAAACCAATGATCCCTGGGATGACTAGGATAGTAGACCGTGTTTATACAATAGTGGTCAAAAGTTTGGAATAATGACATTTTTTAAAATGTTTTTGAAAGTCTCTTCTGCTCACCAAGGCTGCATTTATTTGATGAAAAATACAATAAAATGTGAAATATTATTACAGTTTAAATCAGCTGTTTTCTGTGTGAACATATGGTAAGGTGTAATTTATTCCTGTGATCAAAGCTGAATTTTCAGCATCATTACTCCAGTCTTCAGTGTCACATAATCCTTCAGAAACAATTCTAATATGATGATTTGACGCTCAAGAAACATTTCTGATTATTATCAATGTTGAAAACAGTTGTGCTGCTTCATATTTGTGTGGAAACCGCAACATACTACCATTCAAAAGTTTGTGGCAAATTTTTTTAGAAAAGAAATTGCAACGATGGATTAAATTGATCAGAAGTGACCGTAAAGACACTTAAGCCCCTTTCACACAGCATGTTGATCCCGGGAAATTGCCAGAACTCCTGTGTGAACGCAAACACGACCCAGGATTGATACCGGCATCGATGCCGGGTTGGGGACCTAGTAACATTGCTGGAATCAGTCCTGGATCGCGCTGTGTGAACAAAAGCCAGGACCAATACCGTAAAGGGTGTCATAGTGATGCCATCGCGCGACTGTTGCTCTTAGAAGAAAGTTTGTGTTCGTCATCAACAAAGAAAGGACGAACAAATGTCTCCAAACTGGAATGAAGCAGAGACCAGGAGCTCTTCTCTATCCTCGCTGATTCTGAGATCATTCACCAGCTTTGTGGAACGGTATGCGTGTGTACATGTTTTCGACGCGTAAGTCACGTGTCTTTCCAAGATCTTTACGGGTTGTGTGTGTGAACGCACTCACAGATCCCGGCAAATCACTGGCAGTGTGAATGAACCAAAATCAAACAATCCCGGGACAAATGCCGGGTCATTATCGGAATCTCCATGTGAAAGGGGCTTTATAATGTTACAAAGATTTACGTTCAAGAACCATAAAAAGTATAGTTTCCACAACTGTTTTCAGCATTGACAATTATCATAAATGTTAATGAGCAGCAAATCATCATATTAGAGGGATTTCTGAAGGATGATGTGACACTGAAGACGAAGAGTGATGAGTAATGATGCTGAAAATTCAGCTTTGATCACAGGAATAAATGACACTTTACTATATATTCACATAGTTCTGTAAAAAGAGAATAAGAATTCACATTTTTACTGTATTTTACATCAAATAAATGCAGTCTTGGTGAGCAGAAGAGACTCTTCAAAAGTATCATATCATGTACATCCCAAGAACTTAACTGCTATTTGTCTACTGTCTTCTCCTTTGCATTTTAACACCAGAAATGGCGTTGAAAACTCGCTAAGAATTAAGGAGTGATAAAACGAGAATCTTGCTTTTTACGACAGTGGTATGAGATCATTATTCTGAAATAAATATTCTAATTGACTTCCTCTAGGTGCTTCTGGCTTGCAGCAGCACCAGGCCGCTTTGGATCCAGGTGTGAATGGGCAGGTGAGAGCAAGTGAGCGATGACGTGTCAGGTGTGATCGCTGCTTGAACGCAGTCGTTTGCTCACTGTTCTCACGTCTCAGGAGAGACCGCATTAATGACATGTTTGTCATGCTCCGTTCCCAGATTAGATTACCGCGCTAATTCCTCGGCGAGACTCGCATGGCGGAGCTCGATCCCTCCATTAGCGTTATTACCGTCAGTGTTAGCAGCAATTAATTGTCAATCAATTAGAAGGAGAGATCAGAGTGAATGCACTGACCTAACGGAAAGCAGTAACTGGAAAGTGCACTAAATAGGCAGCAACTCAAACACTTTTCTTTTTTTTTTTACAGTGTAAAAGCTAAATACTATCACACATCATGGACCTGGATAAAAACACATTCAATCATTTGCACACACATAGACTGTTGAATTTAGGGTCAAAGGGCAAGTCCAATCTATACATGCACCTTTGTTTGGCTCAAAGTTGGCACAGTTTAAGTGGCTGTTTTTGCTTGCATTGAGAAACCTCACAAGCTTCTTTTGTTCACTTACAGACAAATGCCATGATCCGGCGAGTCTGCTGAGCTTTGACCTCAGAAACAACATCAATAACGTGAAACGCTGAAGGTTTGGCCCTGATGAAGTCCAATGACGAGATGTCAAGCACCGCTGAAGGTTTCTGCTATTGACGATTCCAGGTAAATAAATGAGAAATTCAGTGAAGGTTCTGTGCGAAAGTGCATGAAGAACTTTGGTTCAGGTGGTTTAAACCTTCATAGTATTACTGATGAGGGAAAGGGTGTTTTTATAGATTGTTGTTTTAGATTTAAAAGTGAGAAGAGTTAAAAAATAGCTATGTTTCCAGTCAAAGTTGTGGAAGAAATTGGTAAACATTTGCGAAAATAAGTGTTCAAGAGAACAAAATCGTCACTTCCTGGGAAATTGGTGTAAAATATCAGTAATAAAACGGTAAGTTTCTGCAATCGGGCTGTTTTCCCGCCATCATGAATGAGTGTGTCTCAGAGCGTCAGATGAAACACAGTAAACGCTGTCATGTTCTCTTGCGTTCGGATGCTGATGTTTGTGAACACACTCGTGTGTGTGAGACGCTTCTGGAGGGAATTAACCAAATCATTCTGATCACACACTTTGATTTTCAGAAGCACCAAACCAACATTTGAGATTTGAGCCTCTCCTGAGGGAAAGCCACGTGAGTTTATTGTTGTGCATTGAGGAATTTATTCACTAAACATGTTTCCATCTTAGTTTATTTGCATGTTTTCTTATCGTATAAAAATGTAATGCACATTTTTAGAATTCATGCATCTGCTAAATGATTAAATGTAAATCTCAACAAAGTGTGCTTCGATTTGCAAGATACCAGATACCACAATGTGAACGACCTGAGCTGATCTCTAAGGCTCTGTTTACACCTGGTATTAAAGGGGTAGTTCACTTTTAAAAAAAAACTTTTGCTGATAATTTACTCACCCCCATGTCATCCAAGATGTCCATGTCTTTCTTTCTTCAGTTGAAAAGAAATTAAGGTTTTTGATGAAAACATTCCAGGATTTTTTTTTCCATATAATGGACTTCATTGGGAACCAAATGGTTCAAGGTCCAAATGAGAGTTTCAGTGCAAACTACAAACTGCTCAAAGGGCTTTAAACGATTCCAGAAGATGAATAAGGGTCTTATCTAGGACCCTTCGAGTCATGACTCGAAAAAAGATTTGTTCATTTTGATGAACGAGTTTGAAAAGGAGTAACAAACGCTCATCACAGAACAGAGCAAGGCGAGCATTTGTGCTTCTAAAACTTAAACTTTGTTATTTATTCTTCAAATGAGCGATTGTTTCGCTAGATAAGACCCTTATTCATTATCTGGTGTCGTTTAAAGCCTTTTGAAGCTGCACTGAAACTCTCATTTGGACCTTGAACCGTTTGGTTCCCAATGAAGTCCATTATATGGAGAAAAACCTGGAATGTTTTCATCAAAAACCTTAATTTCTTTTCGACTGAAGAAAGAAAGACGTGGACATCTTGGATGACATGGGGGTGAGTAAATTATCACCAAAAGTTTTTTTAGAAGTGAACTACTCCTTTAAGGTCCATTTTGGCCGACCGGATCACAAGCCCACTTTCCACTTTCAACCACTTCCAGAGAGAGGCGAAAACACATCGAATGTGTTCAAACAGCCACTAAAGACCGTCTACTGACCTCATGCGTGAACATTATGGGAAGCGTGCTAGCCTGACAGGATTTAAAGGAGAACTCTGGCACAAAATGAACCTTTGGTCTAATTACACATTGTTACCTAGTCAACCGTTATCTGAGATTTGTTTTCATGATTGCTGAATGTAAAGAGTTTTATCTCTAAAAACAGTTTAGCCTATAACGCTAGTATAACGCTAGTATATAGGGCATAGAGTAATGACAAATAAAAATCGCTTGTTATTACCACTAACAAGGCTCAAAATAGCCCCACACTAACATGGTAGCATAATGAGGGTCCCTACATTCAAACCAAAGCATTGAGAATTTTGTCAGTGTGCATACAGTTTAATAAGAAGATATTTTATACACAGTCAACTTCGCGAATACAGGAAGAAGCCATCTTTGAAAAATAGTCTCTACCAGTCGATCTACGAACGCCGATCCAAGTGCGCTAAACTGTGCAGAATCTCATATGGTCTGTTGTTTCCAGAAGAAACACAAACACAAACCACTTTCTTCTCTTCAGTATGTACACGTAGCCTACTGTTCACGCTCACCTTATCACCTTATTCACATCTCCCCAGCGCACTTGGATCGGTGTTCGTAGATCGACTGGTAGAGACTATTTTTCAAAGATGGCTTCTTCCTATATTCGCGAAGTTGACTGTGTGTATAAAATATCTTCTTATTAAACTCTATGGACACTGACAAAGTTCTCAATGCTTCGGTTTGAATGTAGGGACCCTTATTATGCTACCATGTTAGTGTGGGGCTATTTTGAGCCTTGTTAGTGGTAATAACAAGCGATTTTTATTTGTCATTACTCTATGCCCTATATACTAGCATTATACTTGTGTTATAGGCTAAACTGTCTTTAGAGATAAAACTCTTTACATTCGGCAATCATGAAAACAAATCTCAGATAACGGTTGACTAGGTAACAATGTGAAATTAGACCAAAGGTTCATTTTGCGCCGGAGTTCTCCTTTAAACTTTGTCGGCTGAAGACCCAAGTTTGGTTTGAAGAGGAAAACGCGTACTAAAAACACAATGCTCTCTCTCCATTCTTGATTTGTAAGACACACTCACTCAAAGCGTTCATCGTGGTTTCAACTAAAGCTGATGCTCTCTGTGTGTTTTTCCGTCGTCTCCCGTCACATTCATGTGTAAATTGCGTGAGCTTTTTTTTCAGATCTTTCAATCTAACAGAAAAAATAACACATACGTTTACTCGCCCATAGACCCTTCAAGACATTAAGACCACTTGAAGACACTCCAAGACCACTCGAAGACATCAGGACATTAGTGGTTGAAAGTGGACAAAAGAGATGGATTAAAACACCAGGTGTGAACGGGAATGTGTTATGATCCGATCGACTAAAACAAATCGTAATATATGTGAAGTTAGTGTTTCATTTTCTTGATAAAACAATCTTTTCACACTAAATGAACGCTGCAGTCCGTCTGATATAGATATAGAGCCATTCTGCATGGATATGAGTGTGATTATTGCTCATAAATATCAGCAAGAATTTGATACAGCTTTCATTCTTCCGGTCAATCATATATTCATGGAAGAAAAAATCAGTTTGAACAAGGAAAGCGATATCTTTTGTCATAGTATCCTTTCATCGGTTAAACTTGTATGTCAATTGCACTTCAATTGTACCATTTTGTTTTATTAGTTTATTCATAATTTGAACCTTTTTAAGAATAATAAAGAATTAGGGCTGGGTATTGACACACATTTCACAATTCGATTCGATTTCGATTCACAAGCTTGCAATTCGATTTCGATTCAATATTGATTATTTTGGATATCAGTTACAATAAATGGCAAATTTTCTCAAGGAAATCAAATCTCTTAACTAATGATGCAAACTATGGGAGTCTAGTTGTAGCCTACTAGGCTTCATTATTTATATATATACATATATATTAGGGGTGGCACGGTTCACAAAACCCACGGTTCGGTTTGTATCACGGTTTTAGGGTCACGGTTTTCGGTTCTGTACGGTTCTTGTTATTTTTTCTTTTAATCTTAACACGAATGTAATGTACTTCAACATGTGATATATCGCTTAATTATCCACACTTTAGGATACAGTATTAAAAAAATATATATTATATTCATGCAATCATGCACAAACTGAATTTGACTCTTTGACTTTAAGCACATTTTGGGACTATCTCAGAGGAAAGCTAGGTGAGATTTAGATACAGCAAGAGAGAAGACATTGACATGCTTTTTGTTTATTTGGCAAAAAAAGGAGAATGTGTATCACTATCTCTACAAGAACTTGTGCATTTTTATCACATAAATCTTATTTACACAAAGAAATTAACTTTCATGTATCAACTGCTAACTTTTTTAGCTCTTACCAAAATTCTATCTTTTAAAAGAAAAAGAGAGGAACTCTTAACACTGTCTTTTAAATGTCAATATACATGAAACCTCATTGCCTATAGATAATTAAGCTATAGCAATAGGAAAGGCCATAAACATAAAGTGAAATTTAAGTTCAGCCTCAACACAAAAACAGTATCAACAATGCTTCTATTCCCAAAATGTGAGGGTACCTTTTTTCCACTTAAAATTAAAGTGCAGGATTTGGAAACGTATGACTGAAGCTCTTATCTATACATAAAGTGCCACTGTAGCGTTATATTAAAATATCATAACATGAAATCCAAAATGTTCCCACACACCGGACTTATACCATAGACTCATACGACGCTGGCGCATCCTCCAACTCCCTCATCTCTCCCACTTGCCATTTCTCCGCGTGCCGTGACCTGCAGCGCTCTATACTCCACTTTTACTGGCTTGTTTATTAACTTGAACCGGCGCTGCACAGAGCGATCGGTAATGACATCAAATACCGCGAAAGTGATGAATGCATACGGAGCCGACTCGCGCTAGTTTGATATTCACCGATCGCTCTGTGCAGCGCCGGTCCAAGTCGAACACGTTTATGTCCCGCGAAAAGAACACACACGTCACATACGGGCACGAGGTTACATTGCGCATGCGTCGAACCGTGAGACGCACACGCGCTCCGAACCGAGACAAGCGAACCGAACGGTTCGGGTGTTTTTTCATGTACCGTGCCACCCCTAATATATATACATTTAAATGGCTAAAAACTTGCCAGATTTATTCAAATATGCATTAAATATTGAAGAACATTAAGATTATAATGCATATGTAATATGGTGTATATATTTAGCAAAATGCTCCTCTCTAGAATTATTTTTTCTAACTGATTAACGAATTTATGTGGGTTTTATGAGGTAAATATAACGATACATGACATTGATCACAAGCTGTTTAACTGACGTCTTTCCACGGTTGAAATGCTGATTGAGTGAATCAATGTGACATGATACGGATTTCGATAAGTTGTACTCTATCTTTTAACACACTTTCAGATGCTCATTCATGTTTATTTCGCGCGGTAAATGGTATTATTAAGCCGGA